TGGACACATGCCTGGCGATTATTATTGTTTTATTATTAGGTACCAGATGACAAAAAGTCTCTAAACTCACCCCTGAAAATTTTTCTATGGACGCCCATGATGTCCTGGAACAATCCAGCGATTTTTTTCCTGGAAAATATTGCCATACAAGCAAAGAGTCCAAAGCAAGTTGAAATTGTTTGGAAATCTCTCGCCCTGCCATCCTCCAGTCCAGGGTCAAAGTTAACATCAAAGTCCCTTAAATAAAATGGGGTGAATTCTTATGGCTCTGTGTCATTTTCGCGAGGGAGAAAAGCACGAGGGACAAAAGCGCGACTGTACAAAAGCTCGATGGACAAAAACGCGACTGGATAAAAATGCGAGAAACAAAAGCGCGACGGAACAAAGACGCGTGGGACAAAAGCGCGAGGAACAAAAATGCAAATCGATAAAAGCGCGAAGAACAAAGACTGGATAACAGCGCGAGGGACAAAAATGCGAATGGACCAAACTAAAACCAAAACTAATTGAGTATTTCCTGGACTAATTTCAATTGGTTACTTTGTGTTAGTTTGCAATTTTTATGGCACGGAGCAAATTCTTATACCTAATCACCTAACAAAATATTGATTTTTCAAATTTCTGTAACCTACATTTAAATAAATTGGAATCAGCCCCTGGGGCTCTATTTAAATAAGAAACCTACATTTTCATTCTACTTAGTCGCCACTTATACTGATTGCATTACTCTTGTTGCAATTTGGTACATTGAGTTCATATCTAATTTCGTGGACAGCTGGCTTAACTGGGATGGAGAGGAATATATAGCTTTACACTTTTATGGATATAATATATTTCCAATATATTCTTGAAACGCTTCTAAACGTTATTTCTGTAACCCAGCTATTGAGATATACCGAAAGTGCTTGGTAACGAATTTACTGTGAGAGCAGGTAGAAATACCTATCCTACAGTACATCACTTTCCCATAAATAAAGAAGATAGGTATAGAATCTTGCCTGACCAGAAACACGGAGGTTAAATTTTTTTTGGGACATAAACAGAAGCAAATTTCATCTCCTATAATGGCATGGATTTGAGTCTTTGCTTTTCAATTATCCCTTTGCCTAACAAAACCGTTCACAGATTTGCTCCAAACCTGTGGTGCTGACGTAATTGACGTAGTTACTCCTCCCAATTTGCGATTTGTAAAATTTGGGGACATTGAGAGCAACCCACCAACCAGAAAGAATCTTAAATATCATACTTTTTGCTTTTATACAGTGTCATTACTTAAGTGTGCAACATATGGGATTTTTTTTTAGTAATAGCACAATCAAAATACAAACAAGGCCAAAAGTTGGTGCATGTCTGATAATCATATTAGGTGCACTTAGGATGGTTGCAAGTCAAACAGCATACAGGGTGGCTCAAAAAATATTAAAATTCTACTAATACTTACTTAAATAACATAAAACTTTTGCAGTTTAAGGAGAGTTTTTTTAATATGGCTATTATCATTAGTAATGTTTTAACTTGTTAAAAAAAAAATTTGCGACATTTTAAAGTTGTGTTGAATATCATTGCAACAAACATGAATTTTGTGATTCCATAAAAAATTAAAAATCTTAGTTAATTTTACAAATATGCTTGAATTTGAACAAAGTTATGTAAAATTGATTTGATTTTAATTAATTTTTGAAAATATTAAGGACGGAAATAAAAAATAAAAAAAATATAGAAATTAAAGATGTTTTTCGAAAGAAAATAAAAAAAATCTTAGGAGGCTATGTTTCGGTATTTAGGCATTACTTTTAATTCCAAACAACTTTTCTCTATAACATTTTGCTGAATTTTCTAAAAAAAGGGTACTTTACTGCTGTTTGACTTGCAACCATTCTAAGTGCACCTAATATGATTATCAGACATGCATCAACTTTTGGCCTTGTTTGTATTTGGGTTGTGCTATTACTAAAAAAAATCCCCATATGTTGCACACTTAAAAAATCACACTGTATAACTTGTTTATATTCACTCTCGCAAAATGTTCTCTTTATTCCTGGTGAAAACAGTTTTTTGGGTCCAGTTAAAGCGTAATGGCGTAATTGCTAACTTGAAGTCGTTCAATTATTCAAAATAATAAATGAATATTCTTATCCTTAGCAACTCACGGTGTACATAATAGACTCTCGGTCTCAGCAGAACTGGATAGTTTTTCGATAAAATTGTTTGTTTGCGAAGTTTTAAAGTTATTCGACAGAGCCACAACTATCTTGGATTCAATAGGATGAGAAATACTATTCACTGTCTAGTTCAGTTCCCTGCCTCTTCAGAAAGAGATTTCAGGAAAGCTATGAATGTTAGATCGGGCCAGTAGTTAGGTAGTTATTACCTGCACACGCCATTAAAAAAAAATAGTCCTTTATACCTATTTGCTTTCTACTCACTGGTATGATAGATACTTATTAATATAAATGCATTTGTGCTTAGGTAGATACTCCATTAATAGTCCTTCAAACGTCAAAAAAACATTTTTCTACTAAAAGAGTTTTCACCCAAAAACGATTAAATTTTGTCGGGTTGAGATAGTTACTAGTTTTTCTAAAAATATTGGATTCACAATATTTCTAGCGTGTGACCATACCTACATTCTCCATGATTTGAATTTTCCTGTCATAAAAAATTTTCAGTTTTGTGAAGTCTCCAAGGAATGTGTTTCAGTGATATTTTCCTATAAAGCACATAGTTTTTATTTGGTATTTCTAAGCAGTTCACACTCTCTAATATAATGAGTGTTTACTAATATTTATTGATTGTTGATTGTGTACTGTAAATGAAAGGTTTAGCGTACCGACAATAGGTCTGTTCTCACAGGACTTATAGTTATCAACCTGACAGAAACAATCACTCAGCTAAGTTACCAATTTATCTCGGAACGCCGCCATTAAAAACATGTATGGGCGATGCTTACTGACAGTTTGCAAACTGTCAGAGACTCGTAAGAACAGACCTAATAATTACATTGATGGTTGCTTCGCAATTTTCTTTTATCTTGCTCTATTGCCTTATCCCATCTCAGAACCCCCAAGATAATGATAATAAAACCAGAAACAGAATCAAAATAATAAGTCAAAAATATTATAGTTCATTAAAAATTATTGATGACTAAGTTTGAAATCCTGCAACCATTACCATTAAAATAAGGTGTCTTTATTATTGCGTCACCTCGGGCTTAGGGTTCTGTGAAAATATTTGAGGAGGATACGATAGTAGATCATCTCTGTAGGATTTTCTCCAATCGTTTGATACGATCTCAAACCAAATCTTGATAAAATCGATTTGGGAACATCTGTATATAGATTGTCTAGATGAGAGTGTAGATGTAAATGTCCATGTAAATTTTGTATAGTATTTTGAAATGAATGTGAGTGTTTAGACTGCCCAAGAATAAATCTTCAATTGGATAAATTTGAAGAGAAACACAAAGTGTGCGAAAATCGTCTCACTGTATCAATTACATTTTAATGGGAGCTGCTTTTCGCACGTTTTTTGTTTTTCTCTGCTGACAATTCTACTGTGGGCGCATTTTGTGTGTATAGGGTACGAGTTTAGAATTATTCGATTTTTAGCTGTTAGTTTAGGCGAGTCATTTAGCTAGGTAAATACTAGTGATTAGATTTTCTTCAAATATTTTTCTAATTGGCTGATTGAATTACTTCAGTCGTTTAGCTAAAAGATTTTGCGACCCAAATCTCAAAAATAAACTTATTTTGTTTATGTTACTTGGCTCACTTCAGTTCTTAACTTAACCAAATACCAGAACCAGATTCCTTTAGGCATTAAGATTAGAGCACTTTTCTTTTTTCTCCGGTTAATCTAAATTCTACTGGCTCGTATTAGTTATATATAGGACCAACGAAGCTACTTTTCACACAATACTGGTATCTATTATTTATTAGAGAGTTCTAGCAATTTTTTTGTAAATGAAAATTCGAACCTTACAGGGTACATTTTGATATGAGACGTGCTAAGCCAAAATATTTTTTATTGGCGGAATAACTTAAGTTTAATAAAAATACAGCATAAAGATAAACTCCTATGTGCATTTGATAAATATAAGTAAAACTCAAGTTTTGGTCACTAAGGGTCACAGCCGGAATAAGTGGCATTAAAAGTTTATATTTTCAATAGCCGAAAAGCTATAGTCATTTAGCTAAACCACTATGATTACGCAGTTGATTAGCAGAATTTTCGAAGTTTTTTTAACCTCCGGTACCTACCTATAAAGTCTCATGGAAATTTGTAAATTCCTAAAATTTCAGTTGGAAACCTAAATTTAAGCTAAAGACCGTATAATTATTCATGCCTGCGATATACAGTGCCATCCATAAAGTTTGTACATCATGGGGATTTTTTTAATTTTAGAATTTCCGAGAAAATATTCAAGGGCGTATTTTCCGTTAGGATTGCGCCCATCATCATCGCGTCACATACTATGCCTGTCAAATTTGACATTTGAATTTGCAAATTGGAAAAAACCGGTTTTGAGTATATCGGTAAAAGTTATTGGGAAAAAGTTTCTGTGTGGCATTTTCACATAGTGATGTTTCGCTGAATCGAAAAAACATAATTATTTTGCAGAGTTATGAATGAAAAAAAAGGTGATTTAAAATTTAAGGTTAAACTTTCAAAAACTCGAATAATGGACGGTACTGTATATGTAAAAATTATTTTATAAATGTGAATTTTGCTTGATGTAGAACATGTATTTTTTTAGTTCTACCAAAAATATGTAGTTTTGATTATTTGCGTAGCGTAGATACTTTAGTTTTTAGATTTTTTCGGTAGATATTACGCTGGAGGAATATTAAATATTTTTTTGGGTGAGGCAAATATCTTCTTTAGTTAGATTTATAAAAATAATTGTTAAAAGTCTAACTTTTGAATAAATATTGTCATTATCCATGTTTTTTGAACTTTTTTTGTTACATAAAAGATTTATCACACGAACGATTTTACAGGAACCTACTTCAATTGCATTATGTTTATGGTGGCTTCTTCGGTAGTATTAACGGTGGTAGTGTTGAATTACCATCATCGAACTGCTGACATACATGAGATGCCGCAGTGGGTAAGTCTTAATAATTATTAGTTATACTAATTTCCGTCTAGTCTTGCTAGCTGCTTTTTTCAATTTTTGTTCTAAAAAGAGCCAAAAACCCATGCAAACAAATTCCCTATACATATCCAGATCGTGAATTTTATCAATTGGACATTCAAAAAAGATATGATTAAGATCTTTTATTTGCCCACATTCACGTAAAGGGTTCTCTCTCAACTTTATTTTGTGAATAAATTTACCCATCAAACAATGTCCTGTAGTCCTGTGCGCATTCTTATGGTAGGTAGTTGATATATCTTCGATCTAAGTATGGTGAATAAGAGTAGGTACCAATTTTTACTGGGGAATGAATTTTTTTGTTTTTTTAGGATATATATATTTCAATACCTACTTTCTTATGTAGCCCAATTATACTTTCAAATTGTTTCTTAAAACAGTCTTTAATATGGATATAAATTGCGGTTGCCTTCAAAGCCATCTTTTTAGGTAATACCTACAGTTGAAATTTATTTCTATATACTTAAGCAAGAATGTATTAGGTACAGTTGAAATTCTCTGTATATTGGCAAGAGTGTATGTATTACCTGGGATACCCGTGTGGCCTGGAATCCACGCTAACCTAATATCGAATCCGTTGTCATTCACTGTCATTATTAGACGTTTGATTCTTAGGGACCAGTACTCAGTCAGCTTTTGCGCTATGAAGATTGCTATTAATTTTTTGAATGGCGCTTCTAGAGTCTGACAAGTTATAACTTTCAGCCTGGAGAAACCGCATGTGCAAAATTAATAGACGGCAACCATGTTGAAGCTGAAAATTATAAATTAGTCGCCAGAGTGTTCAGAGTCACTGTACCTACTACCAGCAGTATTATGCCTTTCACAGTCTTAGGAACCATTTCTTTGGAAATAATGTCCTCTAGATCCATGTTCTCTATCATAGTCATAATCAACTTCATCATCCCAACTATCCACTTGCTTGACATCTCCCTGTCGAATAAATACCCTCTAGGATAGGAAGACATCCTAGAGGGTCCATCCAAGTCTATCCAGAACACTCCCAACTTCCAACTTCTTCACGTTCTTCTTCTATTTCATTCTTGAATATCTTATCTTGCCCTACTAGGATTTTCTCAAATTTAGTTTATTCCTTAGAAAACATACGGTTCGAATCCATACTTGCTGAAATTTTGAATTTTCTTGGAGTCGGTCCTATTATCCTTTTCTTCGTCGACATCTTGTCTTTCTGTGTGTCTTTGCGCTCCCTTTTGTGTCTTCCTTTCTTTCCTCGAACTTCCTTTTCTTGTCTTCGATATTTTCTTTGAAATCCAGCAAGATTTAAATAACCTCCATTTCGACTGTTTGCTGTAGGGGAGTTTCAATAGAATGCTCTGTATATTTTTTAAAGCTTGTTAAATTTAAAGTCCGGTGGCGAAGTCAAAATTCCCGTATCTTGTCTATTAGTCAAATAGAATACGATGGGATGTTATAGGAAAAGCACTATGTGGACTTATTTTCCGATGTCAAAACCAGTAAAAAAGTCACTATTTGAGTTCAACAAAACTCTTCCAATTTTTCCTACTACAAATCAATCTACTAATAGTAAGGTACATTGCTAATTATGGCCCTAATTATCTCAAACTACAAATTTCACTTATCACTCATAGCTGTTACTTAACTTTATTCAATATTTTTTTGATTTAAATTGACTGCAAATCACAAATTAGGCGCTTTATATAGAAAACCATTCAATCAAGAAGTTCTTGTTTATCACACAATGGAAATTAATTCCTGGAAATTCGCGTTCGGGCTTCAACAGTGGCGTGGGCTTCTACGCTCCAATCAAATGACATAACATGTTCTTGCTTGAATGGTACTTGTTACTTGCTGGCGAATGAAGCATATGCGCATTTTAATTGGAAAATTTTTATTGCAGATTAAAACAGTCTTCCTACAATGGTTACCTTGGATTCTTGGTATGAGCCGACCAGGCAAAAAAATCACACGAAAGACCATCATGATGAATAGTAGAATGAAGGAGCTGGAACTAAAAGAACGATCATCTAAAAGTTTGTTAGCTAATGTATTAGATATTGATGACGACATACGCAATGTCGGAGGAGCATCAGGGAACAGTTCAACAATGACTACGAGTCTGGGTGCTGGTTTTGGAAGAAACGCCACTACCATTGAGGATTCGTCGATGCCCGGTACTAGCTTTGGCCAGCGAGATTTGCAACTGATTCTCAAGGAGCTACAGTTTATTACAAATAGAATGAAGAAGGCGGATGAAGAAGCTGAAGTAATTAGTGACTGGAAGTTTGCGGCTATGGTGGTAGACCGATTTTGTCTGATTATATTTACTATGTTTACCATCATTGCCACAGTAGCGGTACTACTGTCGGCACCTCATATAATCGTACAGTAGATGGTTTCAAACGCGAGAGACTGTAAACTTTTCTGTGATAGACAGCGCAGAATGTGTCGGCAGTTCGGCATAAAGCAATGTGCAGGTGTGCCATCCTCTGCGTGGAGCATTCACCAGCAAAATCAAGTACAAGGCAAGCACTTATGTGCAGCTCATTGCTAAGTAATGTTTCATGCTTCGGAGCCTAGGTACCTCATTAATCAGTCCAGACCATCTTACCTCGCTCCATTTTAGTTAAGTAAATTTTTACATATAAAACTTCTGCGCAAAACATTTTAGATAATGTAACCACAGTCTTCCTTATTAGTTTTTAAGGTTCTTTTATATGCTTAGCTTATTTCGTATACAAAAATGTTTTCATGGTGATAGTTTGGGTTAGACTATAACTTTAATAATATAGAAAGTGTGCCAAATAATTTAGAACTATTTTTAGTAGGAAAAGTTTTGTTTTTTTTAAATTTTCTAGTGTTTTGCAAAGTGAATTAATCTTAATATTATGGATTTGCTATGATGTTGTAAAGATTTACTGGACTAACATAATATATCCACATCAAGACATCGGCTATGCCTTGACCGTGAACACTTTGGGCAAACCAGATAGGCCACCAAACTTTCAACTATTAGAGGATTTTTGAGAGGTAGTCAATTTAAAAGTTCAAAAAAAAAAAAATAGCAAAATTGACTAGTTGGGAGAAAATGTGAATTTTAAACGATCGGTAAGGGTGATTTTTTTAATTAACAAAGCTAGCATTTGTTAGATGCATTATTGGTTGTCGTACACGCGTGTCTGCCCTTTCTTTGACCTCAAACAATGTATCGGAGAAATGTGAGACGAACTTGCCCCAATAAGTTACATTAAAAAATGAGAAAAAAAATTGTTTCAAAGAATTGAGGGATCGAATAAGGGTTTATTAGTACTTTCCTACATAATCGCAAGCAATATTACTTTATTTTAATATTTTGGCAACTTGAAAAAAAAAAACTTGTATTTGAGAAAGAAAATTAACCACGGTCGTAAAGGTCTTAGCTTTTATATTCAAGAAATGTTTTTATTAACTCACAGATTAATACGTACCGATTAATCGAAGCTTGCTAATAAGCTTCTTTGGGGTCAATTATACCACTTAGAGAAGTTGTAACCGAAGTTGAAACTTTTTTAAATAATATCGTACTTTTAAAAAAATAAATGGCTATGGACTAGAAGATAATATACAATTTGCATCTGATTCAATTTGACAATGAATATTAAGTATGAGTTATATCTACGAAAAAAGATTGGAGTTTTACGTAATCGTAAAATGTTTAATAACAAGAACGTTTATTTCCGGTACATTCAAAAATCTCAAATTTAGGATCTTTAAAAATTAGGCAAAGTGATTTCGAAAAATATTGGCAAAATCTGTCAATTTAATATGCAATTATATATTTATAGCATTTTTAACAGTGTGTTCAGTATTGTCCACGTAGACAAAACTTGTTTCAGATAGATAATATCTGAAAACTGTAATAAAATTTGACAAATTTTAAGATACAGGTGGTCTAAGAATGGAAATATTCTAAAATATCAGGGTTTATCACATTCCAGGGGCGGCTTCTCACCTTGCGTTCGGTATTTTGCTCGAAGAGCAGAGCGTGCAGAGCGGAGCCGTAACCACGTGACCAGCGAGCGAACAGAGCAGATGAACGCTGTATAAAAGTGCCAGAAATTTTAATAAACGAACGCGAATGAGGATACACCGAGTACACTTTTTGAATAAACGAACGGTAAAGTCAAGCTCGGAGAACTCAGACCAAAATAACGAACGCACGGTCAATAAGTGCGCTCGTGCGCGCGCACTGCCTCCAAAAACCAAGCAAGAAAATAAAATTAAAATTTTGGAGAGAAATGAAACTTCATTTAAAAAATACCTACCCAATTTTCTAAGTTAGGATAAATATCTACTCATTTTTCTATTTTTGAATTCGCACGAACGGAACGAAAGCGCGCCCTGCGCCAGTCTTGTATATTTTTTTCTCCCGCTTGGTTGTGCTGGTGGTCCGGGTGGTCGGTGTGGAATCGTTCGGCGCTCTGGGTAAATGTGTTTTCTCGCTGTGCGATTGATGGGGAATATACGGTAAGTCGCCCGATGAAAGGGATACGCCGTGCGCTATTTGAATACACACTTCCAATGTTGTTTCCACTCAATCGAGAATATTTCGATGTTTTTTCCCCATTTTGGCGGTTTGACAACTCTGTTGTTCTCGGTTTTTTTTTAAATTATAAATTTCAATATCAATTATGTATTATGGCTAGAATACAAACATTCAAGCCTCATTTATGTATTTAAATATTTTTGTTTTCGATAATTTTTCCTAAAGTAAAAAGAAAAAAAATCAACATACAAAATAAATGTAAAACAGGACGTGGCACCTCCAAAAAATTTTCCAAGAGCGCACAACCACACTAGGTTGCCACTGGCCGCCACTGTCACATTCCTATCTATAAAAACACATTTTTGTGCAAATTAATATATAACTTTATTATTTCTTTTTTTTTGTCTACTGAGTCAATTATTGATTGAAGAATTGTTTTGTTTCAATACCACTAATTGTAAATAGTAAATATTTGTTTAAAAAATTTAAAAAGTTTTCTCGATTATTTCCATCTTATGTATATATAATATTACCTATCACGAACCAAAATATATAGGTAATTTCTTCGCACATTTCTCCGATGCCTCTTCAAACAGAAAAAAGTTAAAGGTGTCCACCATGTATAAAACCAATTGTGATGAGAATCGCAAATTGAATAATAATTAATAAATAGATGTGAAGTACACGTGTGTGAATTTTGGAGTATTTTGCATTAGTGCCGAACGGTTTTATATCAATAATTCAAGGCTGCAAGAAATCGCTGTAAAATTTTTTTCGGAAAAAAAAACCGTTAAAATTCATATAAAATCGTTTGGGGAGAGAAACGTTGTTTTTTATACTAGAGCAAAGCTACTGATTTTGAGCGACTACGATGATACGGTGAGGAATAATAAGCATAGGCGTATGCTAGAGCTTTTTTTTGAGCGAGTTAAGTAAGACCCTTGAATCTGATATAAGGTCTGAGAATAAATTTTTTGTTGAAATATCTTCTTGAAGCAATAATATTCAGATGTCCGGTTCAATTTGCGTTGGACTTCTGGAACTATTAAATATAAAATTTTGTAAGTATAACACGGCATAACCCCCATGTTTTTATCTGAATACTAAATATTTTCGAAAACTAGCTAGTCGCTGTAGTATATCAAATTAGTAACAAGTAAACCAGTTATTCTCAAACTTTAGACCAGTACATACCGTACCAATTTTTTCTTAATTGACTTGCCCAACTCGACTTTCGTGCCCGTATCTTGGCTTCTGACGATACGCCTTGGCAGAAACTTCTCATTCAAATCAACTTCTTTGCAGGTCAGTACTCATGCTCCGTGTTTTTGGATTTGGAGGCATGTACGCATGACTTTCACTACTGATTGGGCCCAGGTTCTTTTAGCTTTAGCCGAAGATTTTGTATTACTTTTATTGAAAATTTGTTAGCATGGCGGTAGTGACTACTTCGTTCATCAAGACCTATGATCGTTGACGATATAAATACATTTAATTAAAATTTTCCACGAGATTTTATTGAAGAGTTTTCTGTTGATAATGTTATACAAAATCTTCCTCTTCGACTTTTCTATTTCTATCCAAAGATAAAGGCTTTTCGTCTTTCATATTTTTTTATAATCATTTTCGTCTTGCCCGTACATGCCTATCAATATCCTACTTTTATATGATATCATATATTTATACTGATTTGTATTTGATGAAATTTTTTTTCATTGCTACTTATTAGGGATTACCAAATTGTGTTGGTAAAAGGGAAGTAAACAACCTGACAAGTAAAACAATAATTGTTTACCTAAAAATAATGTACTTTTAAACCATATAGAATTTAATACAATTTTAATAAAAAAATAATGAAAGGTCGTTTCGGACATTTTATAACATAGTGTTAAATAAAAACTTACATATCTATTATTTAGTAGTTGTAAAGCCCTAAGTTTGGGGCATGTCGTTAAATTGAAAAACGACCTCATAATTTCGACCAAATCTTTTTTTTAGTCTGATAAGCACTTACTATATGTGAACAATATACTATTATTCTAATAAAATTATACTTTTGTCTCTCTTGTTAAAATTTAGTTTCATATTTTAGTGTCAATAATACGTACTTGAATTTTTGGATATTACAGGGTGTTCCAAAATTATCGTGCAATAATTTGAAGGTGTATTCGATTTTATGTGATATAACTGTAAAACGAAATATACAAGGTGTCCCATAAACATTATTCAAACAACCAACATCTCCTTTAATATGATTATGATTATAAAGAAAATCATCTAAATTGTAGGGAATAGGGCAAAATTGAATCCGACACATTGATATTGAAATTTTGGATGGAACAGCATGTTTATTTTAGCATATTTGGCTCCATGAATAATGTTCATTATCAAAATAAAATTGATTATGATAATATATAAACTGATGATTGGAATTGAAAGTTTTTGAGTTTGGGCAGCTGTAAATTCAATAATAGTGTTTTTCTCTCGTTACTCTCGACTCTCAATCAAAGCATATCTCTAAAAAAGCGGTTGAATTTGGAAACTCAGTATCGTCTTAACTAAAAATTATTTGTATGTACAGCGATTGGGGTATAGTGGGGTAGGCATGGGAAAAAGTTAAAATCCCAAATAGGTTTGAAAGTTTTTGTTTTAGGAGGCATACAGTCGTATATGAATAAAGTGGAGCAGATGCTTTTACTCCACCTCCGTTTCTTTTTGCTGCATTAAAGCAGAATATGTTTATCTCAGGAAAATTAAGCAAAAGCATTTGCTTCTGTTTTATGCATATGAGTCATTATTTATGTATGACAGTCTTTCACTATGTAACCTACGTCAGCCTGAATCAACGAGAGGGACGTGAAGATTTTTGGAATTATCAGGTATCCGATATTTAAAAAAATATATTGATCTAGTTGACAGAAGCTGTAAACTGCTCATATCATAAAAAGCTTACAGGATAGTGGGTCTGTGAATATTTCTATAATTTTTTCTGCATGGCCCCCCACAGACAAAATGTCTGGCTGCGCCACTGACCCCAATAATAAACGAAATCGCATGAAATTATTATCCACGGGTTTTCATGATGACTTGTGCCCCTCATCTCAACATATGAGCATAAGAAACAAAATATTCAAAATACCATTTTAATGTCTTATCTGATGAGCTTTATTTAGAAAGAGACTTGCACAAAAAGTTCACCCCCACTTTTGCAACTTTGTGATAATCATAAGTACGATATTTTTTTGTATCATCGGCATGATTCATCATCTTTGAATACATGTTTGCTTTAATAGAACCAAAACTGAATTTCTGGTGGTAGAGTATTTTTTCGCTGAAACTCTCAAAGTTACGCTCAAGAGAAAACAGGGTGAATTTGAAACTTATTTGTAGATGTTAGATTTTGAGAGCTTGCGTTTGTCATCCAAAAAATTTTTAAATAAAATTGGGAGCTATTTGTGAGCTTTGGTGACCGCCACCCCGATCATCCAATGTCGACATTTTACATGTTAAGATAATGAAAACGATTTCAGAATTTTTGAGGCTACTATCCACCATCGCCTTTTTACGTAGGTACTTATTCATTTTCTCTACTATATTATTTCGTCAAAATTCAGCCGGATGAAGCCTTATGGAGCCAAGAGAAAAAAAATAAACGATATCCTTTACAGAATTAGGTAAACCAATTTTAAAGTCGGTTGGAAGGGTATAGAAGACTTGCGCCACTGTATATGGAGAATATTCGCATGGTACAACTTTTGCAAAACTAGTATAGGTAGGTACCCAAGCAATGTCAAACGTGTCTTATTTTGAGCCTGCCCAACACTGGCTTCAAACATGAAGCTTCGATAATTTCGATATCACTGTGCCAAAGGAAATAGTTATCAAAATAGCTCACCTGGCGCACTAGGCTAGCCTAATTAAAAATAAAAAACCAAATCCACAGCTTCCAGATTTCTATTAGGTACCTAGTTTGTGATAAATCGGGGTCGAGTTTAGCTGCAAAAATCTTGAGTACCTACACTATTCAAAAATTGTAAATTGTTATCCAACCGTATATACGTGACTTTCAAAAAAAGTTTCTTAACCAACAACATAGACGGAACAAGCGATTAACTGAAATCTTTTGGATCGTATCAACATAAATATTTCTGCTCAAACTCAAACCCGACTGAACGTTACTCAAGTCTGTTTTAACGTAACTTTAAGATGTAACTAAACCCTAAGCATACGTGATGTGTATGGAACTAATACGAGCTCTTTGTAAAACAGGCTTGAAACTTATTTGTTTCAACAACAATTCAAAAGCTGTCAGAGCCAATCGACTTCCCTACTACTACTATTTTCAGAGTTACACTTTTTTTTCGACCAATACGTTGCTTGTTAGAACAAAAATAATATAGAAAGTGTTCCATTTACAATTTTATAATGGTTCCAAGTGAATCAATGAAACTTTTCATTAATTCATAACATGTTTACCTATTCTCATTTTTTTTATTAACCGTAAATTATTATGCATCAAAAAAATACTAGGCATCATGCCTACCTACCAATTTCATGTAGAGTAATTAATGAGAGTCTTAACTACACTCACAAGCATATTTTTAATATTATCATAGAATAGGTAGGTAGGTGGGTACTTTTTACATTAATTATGGCACGTTTATTTGAAACCTCTCTGTATAAGCAATTATATGTATATAATTATATAAGCAAGAAAAAAATTTAGGTTACCTACTAAGCGTATTGTCAAATTTCTCATAGAATTTTCACATATGGTTGATGTTTTCAATAATTCATCCACATTAATCAAAATAACTTTTAAACAGCTCATCCCATCCTAGAAGCTTTTCCCAAAAAATGTCCAAAAAAAGTATGCATGTTATTAAGAGGGACATTCGAATGAAATGACCAAATAGTTTAGAGTCCTTCGTAAAATCGTAGAGGAGCAAAATTCACCAACCAACATGTCCTGTATCGGTACTGGTAATAATCAAATTGGTACTATTAATTGCTCATTTTTATAAGAATATGATCTGGCTGTCTAGACGTGAAACTAATTAAATTTAATGTTTCAAACTAAGGTAGTACCTACCATGACATCCATCGGATAATGTTTTATCATTCCCCAGTATGTGTCACTAGATATAGGTATCAATGCTCCTTTACTTAAGTTCAACTTAATTTATTTGTGCTTTTTACGAAGTTTTGTAAAGATATATAATCCAAATTGAAAATAACTGATTCAATAGCAGCATTGGCTTCAAAGAATTCCCTTAGATATTCAACAAATAATAAATATATTTCCTAAAAATGTTATTTAATATTTTTAGGAAAGAGACTGGATACAGTACAGTACAGATATGTACCTAATAATCCTAAAATTTTTCTGAGAAGCCTTTGCTGACATCACTGGCTTTAATGTTATGTTACGAATAGGTCAACGGATGCTCAAACTACTACGTTGCCTTCGCCATATCACACTTATGTTTCCTTATCCAAAAGCTGGACTTAAATTTTTGTCGAATAAAATTGTATGATTGAAATATACATGAGATATGAGTTTTAATTGGTGTTTTCTTTTCTTCAACCAAAACCGATCCCGATCCGCACACCTCTTATGGATTTTTTGATGCAGTCAAATTTATAGAATTGACCTTTCTGGTCGAACCTCACCATGGCCTCAATCCAATTTTATGGCTAGTTTTTGAGACACATCAGGGTGTTTAGTGTGTGAATTTACCCATTAACGATAAATATCACTCCTCACAATTGGATTGCAGTACACTATTGGATTATGCGTTTTCAAAGAATTTTCAACCACCAAAGATAATTTTGATAATAAGTAGGTATACAGGGTGTTATAACCATAGGTCCTTTACTCAACCTAAACAATTGAGTAGATAAACGTAGGTATTTATCATGAGTGGAAGCATCTGCTTTCTGATACTGATAATTACCAAATAGGTACGTATTATAATCCACCATAATAGTCACTAATAAAACAGATCATAAGTGTTTATTTTTCACTCGCCTACTGTACATATTTTTTTTTTTTTGGGGTCGGAAAAGCTACCTTTAGATAGTTGTGGATATATAGAGAAGCGCCATTTCTATATGAGAAAAAGCGAGACACATTCAAACAAATAATAAAACTTATGGTACCTATTAACCAGTTATAAGTTGGTCTTTTTCTGCTAACCTGATTCATTGCCTGAGAAAATTAGACGAAATGCATGCCTATGATAATGAATCTTCTTTAATATAGTGCATTTTCCTGCATATCTGTTCATCTGGTCGAGAATGGTTTTGTACCTCATCCCACAGAAATTTGACCCCTTAAAAGTTTTTACAAATTAAAATGTGACATGATTGAAAGCCCCAGAGATTAAACTTTTTCACATGAAAACAGTTTCAGTGGTGAGGAGCTCTACTTGTATCCTTGCGTCATATATTGCATCTTTTTCTAACCAATAGACCTATCTATTTTACCAGACAAAGAGGTAATAATACGAAAACTTCATTAGATAAAAAAAGACATAGAACGCTCATTGCGCAAGACGAGGCAAAGCGTACCAAATTATGTTAGACTTACGTATAGCAATACGTTCTTCTCATTTGCACGGGACAAAAAGGGAAGGAGAAAGACCGCATGTTGTGCAACGTATTTGTAAGTGAAAATTTCAAACAACTTTTGAATGTCACTTGTCAAGTTATGTCAAGTTGAATATCAATCGTACTTTCATTCTTGTCAAACCACGGGCAATGAACAAGGACAAGGAGATGCCTAGCGTGCAAAACGAACACCTCTCAACTGTACTAGTTAGCCAATAGAAAGGCATTGCCTCGTATTGCGCGCGCATGCCAGGTAAAAATAGATAGGTCTATTGGCGTATAATCAGAACTATGAGATTATAAGCTATGACGCAAGGTAAAAAATTCTCTGGATTCTGTGCAAGTTGACTGTGATTCGTTCCCTGTCAATTCCATCTGAAAGTTTCTTGGCATGATATGTGCAATTTTTAATAGAAAGCAATAATTGAAGTTATTCTATGGTTGCGATTAGGGAAATAAAGTACCGCCCGCTCTCAAAGGGGCGCACCTGGGTCCTTTTCCCTTCAACTTATTCATTTGCGATTTCTTGTTGCATTTCGACAACGTCAGTACCTATCTCTTTTTACGGACGATTTAAAGTTTTACATGCCAATAACTTCATCAGATGATTCTTTAAAACTACCGTCAGATATAGATAATATAGTAACTTGGTGCAATATGAATGGAATGGAACTGAATACCTTCTATTCTACCGTTTTCTAAGTTCAAGATTACGTTTTGAACAATCCGTATTCGATTGAAAATTATATAGGTACATACCCTCTAATTCTCTCAAAATCAAAAATTCAGGCCTTATTCTAGACTCCAATCTTACTTACCTATCCACCTCACATCCAGCGTGCCTTATCTAAATCTTCTCAGCTTCTCGTTTTTTTTTGGGCACATAACCAGTGGATTCACCATTATAAGAGCAATTGAACTTGGTTATTGATAAGGATTACTCTTGAATTCTTCTCTTCCGTCTGGAATCTGTACCTACTACAATATTCTACATATTCTCAAAAACATAGGTACCTATAGAAAAAGTCTAAAGGGCGGTTTAGACTCTCAGTTAATTTGTGCAAATCGGCTTGTGCAAGTAAATCGTTAAATGTAAATAGGAATCTTTAATTTGCGCAGTTCGAAAATTTGGCTTGCGTGAAATCTGTTTCGTCTTGAAAATTGGCTGAGATTGGTGCAGATATCTGACAGTGGGTATGTACCGTTATCAACTGCTAGTACTGGATTTACTGTGCTGATTTTACTGTCATTTTGCCATTCCGATTTCAACAGCGTACTGTTTTCGCTGGAAAAAAAGGTACAGTTTTCAGCACCAGCAGCACTGTCCTGTCAACGATCATGACAACAACGAAAAACGTTAAACGACAAAAGGGAAGTTCCAAGAATGTTAAACCACAAGAGAATAGTTCCTTCTCGTAAGCGCTGGGTTCGTTAATTCTAGCATACCGCAAAAGGTTAATGACCGGGCACGTGACGTACTCTGGCCCACTCAATACAAACATTTTATTTTATCTACATTGCTCTGTAATGAAAATTCGCCTGCTTTTCAAGTATTAATTCAAAGGTCTGTTTTCACAGAAATCACAAACCGGTCGGTGCGAATATCATTGGTTGAAAATAGTCAGAAAACTGGTTGTTGGCGATTCGGTGGACCAATCAAAAACGCTCTGAATGGCTTATGATTTTTGTGAAAACAGACCCCCCAAATCTCAACTTTTTTATTCTAAAAGTTATTTATACTTAAGTTTAAGTATCAGACAGAATCCTTAATTATGTTTTTGTTTGTATGTATGGGTATTTTTTTCTAGAATAAATTATTTCTTAAAAAAATATACGCATAACAATAATAGGAATTCAAAAATCACAATACCGTTTTCATTTGACCAATAATTTTAGAATCACTCTATCTGCTTTTTAAATTAATACCTTCAGATAACTAAATTACGGGAAAATGCTATTTTTCTATTTAAAGATTTTCAAAATAAGAATATGGACTTGGGACATTCTGTAATAAAAGAACCTATAACAAATGTTCATGAAGAAAAGGCTCCTATAATAATATACAGGGTGAGTCTGAAATAAGTGCGCATTTTGTTATGATAAATAGCAAAGTATGGTAGGACAATCAGTTTTTGCATAGGTAGGTACAGGGTGTTGAGAGAGTAAAATAATTTTAAATCGGTCGTAAATACCATCAAATGATGCTAATGTAGTCGTATTTTCATACACATAGTAAATAAATAACCTTTGACTATTTTTTTTTTAAATTTAAGCAAAATACTAAATTATCCCTAGACATTGCGGTTGTGTGTATATTGAATATCGATAAGAATGTAGAACACTTTAATAGTAAAAGATGATTCCTCTGACTGTTTGTCAAGATCAGTAGTTACTAATACGCTTGAAAAATTAAATGCAGAACACTTATGGTCATAAAGCTGATTCCTCTGACTATTTGTCAAGAACAGTAGTTAATCAATAGCTTAAAAAAAAAGTGAATGCAGATCACTTTAGTGAAAGCTGAACCCTCTGACTGTTTGTCGAGATCAGTAGTCACTATGAAGCTTGAAAAAGTGAATATAGAACACTTTGATTATACAGCTGATTTATCTGACTGTTTGTCAAGATCAGTAATTAATGATAAACTTAAAAAAAAAAATGGATATCTTCGATTGAGAATGATGAAATTGGAAAACCATTTAGATATAGTCTATCGATAGTCAAAAGCGACAGTAAAAAAATAATATTCCTTTGTCCGTCGGCGTTTTCTTTATGAAGCACGGGCGTGTAAGAGAAATTTATCAAAACAGTTTTATATAAAATAAAAAATGAGGCACAATACAACTCAAATAGGAATCAAATTTATATAAAAACTATCTACTGCACTGTCTTTCCAGACGAAACTGATTCGCAAAAGGCGGCCGCTACAAAGAAATATGCCGCCAAAGACGCCGCCACTTCAAAGAAAGATGCCGCCAAATACGCCGTTAAAATTTCTAACCAATAAGATATTCCTGGAGTCAACGTTGACTGTATAAAACAACCAATAAGATGCATTGTTCGCACGTGGAATCGCATCCAATGTATACGGGCACGCTCAATATATTTTTCCTAATAATAGTATAATAATTTTAACGGGCAATACGATAATCTGAGGATACCCCAATTTTTGCCTTGTCTCATTTGAGAAACGATAGACTATACAATGCTCGTTGCTCGTGGTTTTAGTCAAAAATACTTGGTAGATCAGCGGCGCCGACTTTCGAAAGTCCTCATGGGTGCAGGATAATAATAAATGAATTTATAAATTTGTTTATAGGGAAAAGAGGTGGACGAAATTTTTTTTCCGGATGCCACGTCCAAACACGTCTATTTTATAGTGTTTCCTATTGCTAAATTCGAGCAGCACTAGAGCAACCCTCGCTCAGTTTTTGTATTCGATTTTATCTCCCCCCCCGTATGCCTGGATAGGTAGTATAAATTTTAAACAAACATTTCATTTAATAATGTTTTTTTTTATTTATACAGGGTGTCCCCCTTCAACTGGTTAAAAATCCACATTTTCTACCTGGAACCACCCCAAAAAACAAAAATTAAAACAAATTGCTTTTTTTCCGAATTTTATTTTATTTTTTTTGGGGGGATGGTTCCAGGTAGAAAATGGGGGTGCATAATAAGAATTTTTAAATATCATTCCTACATCAATAATCCCTAGAAATTTGAACAGCCTAGCGGCCATTCAGACGATATGAAAGGGGATTTTTAAATTTCAACACTCTATATTTTGGAAACGACACACTTCCGACCATCGGTGTCCTATCTCAAATTAGTTCTCTATGGTTCCTCTGTATACTCTGGCATTTTCGAATTGAACGGCAACACCCTGTATAAACACAGTATCCCATTTTGGTTGTACAGGGTGTCCAAGATTCGATGGTTTTGGGGGGTTTCGGG